AACATTTAGGCCAAAACTAATACTGACAACTCAACATCTATCTGACAACCAGTTACTTAGCTGACAAAGATAAAGCTGTTGATAAAGCTTACACAATTTGATTTGATTGTTACATTTGATATGATTTGATTTGGTTTGAGAGGTTAATTGACCAACTAGTCTTGCTTAAGGTTAACAAGAGCGATCAGTAATCACATGTGTCGCCTCATAATGGCCAATTTCATGTTGGGACAAGTTTTGTGACAGACAGACAGACGGACAGTGCACAACTAGACTTGGTACTGATCATTATTGTAAAGTTTGAATAAAATTGCACCAGTAGTTTTTGAGGAGTAGTCTGGACAAGCTTTTGTGTATCTGGCAACACACAGAAAAAAAACACCTTTTTATCAAAGGGCCATAACTAAGCCAAAATCATTCAACCGGAAAACCGGTGCAATATGCGCAAGGACTTGAGCTACAGATCAATCCTGTAAAGTTTCATTGAAATTGCATCAGTGGTATAAGAGAAGTAGTCCGGACAAACTTTAAAAATAAAAATTATTAAAGGGCCATAACTCTGACAAAAATCATTGAACCGGAAAATGCTGACAATATGCACAACTATACTTGGTACTGATCATTCCTGTAAAGTTTGGATGAAATTGCACCAGTAGTTTATGAGGAGTAGTCCGGACAAGCTTTTGTGTATCTGGCAACACACAGAAACACCTTAGTCCGGACAAGTTTTGTGACGGACGGACGGACAGACGGACGGACAGACAGACGACGGAGAAGTGATCCCTATATGTCGCCACTACTCCGTAGAGGCGACACAAAAATCAGTCTGATTAGCTGACAAACATATACATTTATATAATTATACCTTACACATAAGTCTGACAATTCTAGTAAGCTGACACACTGGTTTGGTAATCTAAGCTAATTACCAAAATAAATCTGGTTAATAGTATAAACATGCAATCTGGTTTAATAAGTAAACTGGCAAACCAGTTTGGTGCTCTGACAAACAACTCTAATTAGCTGACAACCAGTCTGTTATGACAATTAACATACATGTATCTGGAAAGCTAGCTAACTTGAATAGATATGTAAGCTGTGAAATTCAGTATAATACCAGTCTGATGATCTTATATTTGATCATGCAAACTGGATATTCAAACAAATGGCAAATAGGTGGATATACTTTGTGAATAAACTGGCTAATAAAGAAATAAATAAATAAATAAAAAAAAAAAAAAAAAAAAAAAAAAAATAATAATAATCATACAGTCAATAAATTATGGCTTACTACAAATAATTTGCATGTTAGTTTCCATAGTCATCACTGTTTAACCTATATAGATAAAGGTAAAAAAAAGGAAGAAATTAATACCATTAAATATTTGGCAGCAAGCTCTTTATATATTTTCATTGCCTAGTTAAATATCATTTTACCAGTTTTGCAGCTCTAAAAGCCTCAACAGACGGTAGGATTTTGAAGTACAACACCAATTAAATCTAAGATGTACAAGCAAATCTTAATGTGTGAAGGCTACTATTTCTTGATTTCGGAAACCTTTGTAAGGGATAGGACATCTTCTATTTTGAAAATCTTGTCGTACCGATTTTTAAAGACCTCCCACAATGACAAGTAACAGATAAGCAAATTATCTCCTGATAATGGATGTAATGAATGAAATTCCAGAACAATTAGGGCTAAAAGGTAAACAAAGTAGTAAGATGGGGTAAAAATGATGTTGAAAAACTCTTCAGGAGACCCAAAGTTGTGTTGTGTTCGAATCCCAAATTATTCCGAAAATGATTATGTCACGGTATTGAATTGTTCTCTAATTACATGAATTTGGGGAGGGGAGGTAATTTGTAGGCGGCCACATAGCTTAGTCAGTAGAGCCACAGTACGGTATTCCGAGGGTCCCAGGTTTGAGTCTCAGTCAGGCTTCACATTAAAAAAAAAATATATATATATTTTTTAATGGATGTGTTTCAATCATTACTCATGGCGAAAAAAAGTATTAAGTTAGAAAAGTATGTAAAGAATCAATGTAAAGGGATCCTTTTCAGGGGAAACCTCAGAAGATTCTTACAGTATAGAATTACCGTCTGAATGCAAGTGTTGTATAGCTTTGAAAATTGTACATCTTATCTCTAATTAGTGCTGTACAACTAAATCCTACCGTCTGTTGAGGCCTTAAGCTGCTACATAATAGAGTTATCATTGGACTACCACATTTATAATTCTGGCAATTACTTTTTATTTCAAAAAGAAAAATATTAAATTAATTTCTTGCATCTTAAATTTCATTAAATCACTATATGTTGGTTGTATGCTGACAGAAAAGCTGATAATAATTGGCAAAACCAGCCCCAAAAAAACACCAGACAATAAATATTGTGCAATATGCATGCAGTGATTGCCATTTAATGTATTGGTTAAAAGCGAGTACAGAAGCATGACCTTCAACTTTGGGTGATTAAAATATCTAATTTAGAAGATTAACTCTAAAATACATTATAATTCAGTGTAATTTATCTTACAAGAGAAAAAAAAATCTACCACTATGACCAAACTTTTACCTTGAACCTTAAAGTATAAAACAGGAAGCACAAAAATTGTGACCTTGACCTATATCCAAAAATATTTTCTAAAAATCTCACTAACTGATTGGTGCAACCTTGACCTAATGTATAGCTTTTACCAATGACAAAAAATAACAATAAAGAAAACTTTATATTACTTATATAAAATAATGAATACAATCTTATAATGCAGAAAAAAAGAAATATCACAACAGGTAAATGCATCTTCTTTGTGTGATAGCAAGAGATGGAACATGTTGATTTGAGTATAAGTTTGCAATAATTTATACATTTACTCAGAAGTAACACTCCTGGTGCTTAATTGAGTGCAATAAACCTGGTGATATATTCATATTTGATTGTTTAGGTCACAATAAATGATACAGTGATTTTGTTTTCTCACTGTGATTCTAGGATAACAGAAAATTTGTCTTAAAAAAGTTTTCTTTGTCTTTTCATACACTAGTAACGTTCTCTGAATGAGTGAAAATGGAATACCATGGTTAAATTATGATGGCTCATTTGAATTCCAAAAATCATGAACAAAATGATAAACTTTTTTTTTTGGACAAAAAAAAAAGGTGGGTTCAGTTATAGTTTCATTAAAGTACATGTATAGAAAATACAATGCCAAAGATTGTTTATATGCATATCTTTTTATAAATTTGAAGGTACATAGACATAATTAGTTGCAAAAACAAGAGCTGTAAGTAGGACAGTGTGCTCGATTGATATCAGTGCTTGATTACAAGTAAAACAAAAGCCTGGATAATATAGAATTTTTTAAGTTCAAAAAGGGCTTGTATAATTAATGTTAGAGTTACGGGGCTTGGACAGTGACCTCCTATTAAGCTCTCTACTAAGTGTGTGAAGTTTATTCCCTTCCTTAGCTTTTAAAAACCACGTTCACGCAAAAATTTTACCAAGTTCAAAGTTACACCAACCGCCTTGGTGAGTACAATAACTCTCCCTATTCTTTGAATTTTAAGTCAAGCTAAAAAATCAAAATTATTTCCATTTTTGAAAATTATAATATATGTCATCTGCATTTATCTAAGTGTTTACACTTTTTGTAATCAATTATAACTAGAACCGCCTCTGTCACGGCATGAGTAACCCTCGCATACCACTTTGAGTGGACTATGGGTCTTTAATTAAGTTATTGGGCGGACAAACATTTTGAAGTCCAGGAGGGGCCTTGACCTTCGACCAAGTGGCTTCAAAATCAATAGGGGTCATCTTATGGTCATGACTAACCTCCATGCTAAGTATGAAGACTGTGGGTCAAAGGATTCTTTAGTCATTGGGCCGACAGTCTTTTTCTAGTCATGGCTATTCTGACCTTGACCTTTGAACTAGTGAATTCAAAATCAATAGAGGTCATCTACTAGTCATAACCAACCTCAATACCAAAGATGAAGACTGTTGACCAAAGCACTTTTACATAATTGAGCCAACAAGCTTTTTGAACTTAAGGCCCCTGAGACCTTGTCCTTTGACACAGTGACCTCAAAATCAATAGGGGTTTACTAATGGTCATGACTAACCTCCATGCCATATATGAACACTATGGGTCAACTTAGGATTCTTAAGTTATTGAACAGACAAGCTTTTATCAGTCAATGCCCTTCTGACCTTGAACTTTGACCCAGTGACCTCAAAATTAATAGAGGTCATCTTATAATCATGACAAATCTCAAAACCAAATATAAAAACTGTGAGTCAAAGGAATCTTAAATTATTGGGTGGACAATTTTTTTTTTAGTCAAGGCCCCTGTGACCTTGACCTTTGACCCAAAAATCAATAGGGGTCATGTAATAATCATGACCAATCAATACTAAATATGAAGACTGTGGGTGAAAGGAATCATAAGATATTGGGCGGACAAAAAAAACAACAACTGCTGGATGGCCAGACAGACGGACAGACAAGCTGATTCCAGTAAACCCCCTTACAACTTTATTGTGCGGGGTATAAAAAAAAACAACAAGCATTTCAAATGAAGTAGGTGTAAGTTTCCTTATTTTTCAACAGAATAATGGATTTTAAGGGCAATTTAGAAACACTTATAATAACGATTTATTACAGGATTTCTAGAATAATAACTCAATGTTATAAGTTATCAATTAGAATGAATTAAGAATCTAGGTCAACATTATTAATATCTATCAAAGTTACACAAGACACTGTTATAAATTCAAAATGTTGCTAAATAATAATATAAAGCCAAATAGATGTTTAACCTGGAACTTGGCAAATGTTTGTTTTAATCCCTTGGCACCAACAAACTTTTACCATTAATTTAAGCTTCATGGTGCACAAACATTTACTACAGACTGATACGTGAGTTGGGTCTTAATTAACAATATGCTTGTAATGTTAAAAGTTTGTTTGTACCCCGGGATAAGATGGGAAAAACAAACATTTGCCGAAATCTCCAGATTATCTCTATATACTGTTCTTGTACCAACACCACAATGTTAAGAAACAAAAACACAATATTAGATTGAAGCTTTTGGAAATAATTTTCATCTACTCATAATTCACCTTTAATAACCTGGACCTGACTTATATTTTTAGCCAATCAATTGAGTGGGCAGTTCGGTCCAACTTTCCTGGCATTACCCTGAACAAAATTAATAGTAGTATATACAAAAGTCATGTAATAAACAACTGTTAAAACTTAGATCAATATTTTACTAGTAGCCCTTAAAGTATCATAGTCACTTCTTAAATGAACTTGTTTAGCTTCCTTTTTTGGAACAGTCCATTTTCAATTTTAGGGATATAAATATAAAAGTTGAAGTTGGTCTGACAACTTTATCTATGTATAATCCTGACAGGTTCAAGCCACATGTTATCGGCATGGGATCAAGCCCTACCCTGAGGGTACCACCCCCATGTCACTCATAGTTTAGTATCAGTAATATATTTATGTAAGAATTGTTTGATTTTGTATTCACTTGTATTTTGAATGGGTCAGAGTATTTTTGGGTTGTATATAGGGTCCTGGAGGTTAGTACCCTTGGGGTAGGGCTTGGTCCCAAGCTGATAACCTGTGTGGCTCTAGCTAGACTTCAATGATGTTTTAGTCTGACCTGGCTATATAATGGTGACATTAAGGCTTAAATTCCTATCCATTCCAACAAGGTAGTTAAGGGGTAAAGAAGTCTTGACATTCAACCTTTATTAGTGGTAACTGATGTATTTAGTAGCTGTATACATGTACCTAATGACTGAGATATAAAGAGTCTGTATCTATGATAGACTTTATAAATGGGTATGAAGGCATAACAAGATGAACAAATAACAAGATTAAAGTCTAAAACCTTAAACAAGTCAAGAACTAACTCATAGACTGTCAACACCTTATAACTTCAATATTTAGTGGGTATATACCTATCAACTTTAAAATTTTGGGGCTGTTAACCAAATCATTTCGAAATGTAGATGATAAAATTATGCAGGTAAATCTTAAAATTTCCAAAACTTTGGAGGTTATAGATCGACTGTTACTTCCAAATGGTAAGGGTTAAACTTTAGCATTATGGAACATGCCAATATAACGGCCAATATATGCTGTTAAATTGCACAGAAGCATGTTATAAAAGCTGTAAGTTATCTAGAAATTATTTTAATACAGGATTTATTCAAATTACAGTGAAATACCAAAACAAGCGAAGAATCCTGCATTACACTCAGCAAGAGCTCAAAAATCAGCTTAATAAGTCCAATAATAAAATATATACTTAATGAGTCCATTTTTAAAATTTGAACTTAACGAGTTCATTAATTTTAACTTAAACTTCATGAGTTCATTATAAAAACTTGCTTGAACTTAATGAGTCCATAACTCCTAGTCTATTTTTAAATATTTTTCATCATGAGTCCATTGTCAGAAGTTTTAACTATTAAAAATTTGAAATTAATGAGGTCATTATTAAAATTTTACTAAATGATTCTATTAGCAGTTGTTTAACTTAATGAGTTCAATATTAAATTTTTTATTTTAAGAGGAATTTTTTTTAATTCTTACTTTTAATTACTTACGTATTATAAAATTTGATCCTTACATAAACAAAGGGAGCTATTTTGAGCACTTTAACCCTTCCCCCATGAGCATATTGTGAACAAGAGCTGTCCGTAAGACAGCGCGCTCGACTTTTTTATTGCTTGCCAATAAAAAAAGTTTTTGCAGTAAAAGGCAATACAAGAATCTCTGTATTTTTAAAGTGAACAATGGCCATGAGCATTAAGATATTTAGTGAAGAATTATTTTATTATGACATAATTTATGGTAAAGTGAACAAGTGGATAGGAATGAATTTTTTTAGATTTTTTAAGTTTTTTAGTGCTTGCCTATAATACAAAACATTGACAGTTAAGGGCCATAATTCAAATAAAATCTTTGACAGAATTACCTTCTCCTGGACATGTTTGGGAATCATGATTGTAAACAAGTATTCCAACTTTCAAATTAATATCTCAAACAGTTCAGTCAAAAAGTGGACTGGTACTAAAAACTTAACCAAGATTCTAAGTCGATAAAAGGCCTTAATTTTTAAAACAAATCCTTGACAGAGTTACCTTCTCTTGCGTACAGATGGGGGTAATGATGTGAAATAGCATTAAAAGTTTCAAAGCAATATCTCAAAGGGTTAAGGCAATAAGTGGATTTTACCCATATTCAATGTATTTTCTAAGTCAAAAAGGGGCATAATTCTGTCAAAAACCTTGACAGAGTTATGTCCTCTTGTCTGTTGATGAAGGTCGTGATGGTAAACAAGTATGGTCAGTTTCAAAGCAATACCTCCAATGGTTTTGAAATAAAGTGAGGTGGTACAAAAAACATAACCAAGCTCAATACACTTTCTAAGTCAAAAAAGGGCCATAATTCTGTCAAAAACCTTGACAGAGTTATGTACTCTTGTCTGTAGATGGAGGTTATGATGGTGAACAAGTATGGTAAGTTTCAAAGCCATACTTGTAATACTTCTGAAATAAAGTGGGGTGGTACGAAAAACTTAACCAAGGTGTGACGCCAACGCCGACGCCGGGGCGAGTAGGATAGCTCCCCTTTTCATAGAAAAGTCGAGCTAAAAATGGCCTTTTTCACTGAAAATCATCCTCTTACAAGTTCAAACTAGCTGCTATGAAACTATGAAAAATGCTTCAATACTAATCAAACTTGGCACAAATATTGACTGGACCATTGCCTTTGTAACGACAAGCTCAATCATTAATTTCCTGTTATCATGGCAACGAGGGGACATCTCAAAATTGCCAAAAATCACTTTTTTGCCTCGATTTTTTTCATCAAAATTTATTTCAAAGTGCTGCAACTTCTCAAGGGATTGAGATAGAGTCAAAGGCTTTTCAGCGTTGGTTACACGTTACCTTATGATCGACCTGGGGTCATTCTCTCACAAGTCCAAAATTTTCTTGGCGATGAGGGGGATTCCGCCTTCTTCAAACCCCCTAACAGAAGGGGGCACATCCCCCTTCTGGCAACCCCCTGATGTATCTTTTTGATGAGGGGCGGTGCTGAAAAAGTGCTCACATTTTTTAGCAACATTTCTCAAACGAAAACATGTGTTTGGGGCCAGAATAGGACATTTTTTTCACAATTCAGGCCTTAAAAAAGGGGGGGGGGTTGAAAGTGCATTGTTTCGTGTATATATGAGGTAAAGGGTTAAAAACTGAAGACACGTTATTTCAATTTTTTTTTAAGTTTGATAATTGAATTGAAACCCCATCATATAAAATACTTGAATAACCAATAAACAACATTGAATTTATCATGTTATGAATTAATTTTTGTCCCACATCATGATCATAAACTATTAGAGCAAAAAAATCAAACATTAATGGGAAAAACAAACAAAATTATTGAGTCAGACCTTTTTTCCCTTATTTTTCAGTACTCAGTTCACTGAAATTATTCAAATTCACTGATTATGTATAGAAAAATAAAATAAATTAATTAAAGGAGAATTAAATAATGTGAAATGATGTGCAACAATGAAATGAAAAAAGTCATGAAACATTGTATCACAATAGTTCAAATAGTGTTTTTAACACTTTAACCATTTCAGAAATGTTGAGGTGATAACTGTTGCATGCTTAAGTCACTCCAGGACTATTTAGCCAGCATATCAGAAAAGTCAGTATGAATTAGACCAATAATAATAACACAAATATTAACACCATAATATGAAATTATAAATATATCATGTACTTTCAAAATGAAAGAAAAAGTGAATTTGTGTAAGTATACTTGAACTCATAGAACAATATTCTGAATAGTATAAAGAAGGCTGACTAATAAAACTGTGGGTCCACTAAGTGAGGCCTATCTTCTGCAGGTGATAAACCAACAATATTGCATAGAATAGTGACCTTGAACTCATAAGTACACATTGGTGAGGTACAAAATGCAGTCATTTTCTCTTGTTTACTATACATACCCATTACACTGAGTGAACTTCGACTAGACGAACTATGACTAGATCTTTTAGATGAGGGGCTTAATAATAATAAGGGAAAATTTAAGTTAAATAAAATGCTGGTCCAACAATACATGTATCACAGTAAAATTGAGAACAGATTTTTCTCGAATTAAAACAAAAACTTTATGTGGGCAGTTACACTCTGTGAGGGCAGTTCAGTTCATGAGGGAAGTACAGGCCACGAGGGCAGTACAGTTCATGAGGGCAGTACAGTCCACAAGTGCAGTACAGTTCATGAGGGTAGTACATTGTATGACGGCAATACAAACTACAAGGGCAGTACAGTTCATGAGGGCAGTACAGTCCACGAGGGCATTTTTCTATTTTTAGTAACAATGACCTTGACCCCAAGGGGTCCAAATGCACTACCAACCGGGGTCGTCATATAAGTTTGCTATACATCAAGTTCGATTACAATATCTCAGAAATAAAAACATTGTATTTAAATTTATACTATTTAGCTATAAGCAATGCAAGTAACTTATATAGAATAAATCTTCAGATACAAAACTTAGATCACATTTTTGATGAAATCTGTGTTTAAAAATCTGTCCAAAATTAGGGCACTTATCAAAATAAGATATGACAAAAATTATGACATAAATCTTAAAAACAGGTCAACAAGTAAGCCTAAAGGGCATAGATTTTGATATAATGTTTTAAGGATGCATAATATGTTATTTATCCATTTTGTTAGAAACTTTATTCTGTGTAATATTCATAAAAAAAAATCCACACAAAAAACTTTAACATTTTAAAGCAGCATGCCTCCAGATTCATGCTATTAACTTTCATGAAGATTTGAAAATGTATTTGAAAGTAAAGTATGGTAATTAAGGCATTGCAAATGATCCTTAAAATCCATGTAAATTACCAAACAAGAGGGCCATGATGGCCCTGAAGTCGCTCACCTGTATATAGGCCCCCAGAGCGGGGCCAGTTTAAACCCCAGGGCTTTTATTTGAACAAACTTGGTAGACACCCATTAGAAGATATTTCATGTTTAACATCTAAGGTCTAGCTGGTCAAGTTTTTTTTTTCTTTACACATATAGTTAAAAACAATGACATACCTGGGGCAGGGCCAGTTTTGACCCAAGGGCTTTTATTTGAACAATCTTTGTAGACACTTACTAGAAAATGTTTCATGCTTAATATCTAAACTCTAGCTATTCGGGTTTTTTCAAAGAAGACTTTTTAGTTTTTGCTATACACATATAAGGAAAATCAATGTCAGCCCGGGCGGGGCCAATTTTGACCCCAGGGCTTTTATTTGGACAAACTTGGTAAACATCCATTAGAACATGTTTCATGCCAAATATCTAAGCTCTAGCTCTTTGAGTTTTTTAGAAGAAGATTTTTTAAGTTTTTACTATATGCATATAGGGAAAATCAATGACCCCCTGGGGCGGGGCCAATTTTGACCCCAGGGCTTTTATTTGAACAATCTTGGTAGACACTCATTAGAAAATGTTTCATGCTTAATATCTTAGCTCTAGCTTTTTGGGTTCTTTAAAAGAAGATTTTTTTAAGTTTTTATTATATGCATATAGGGAAAATCAATGACCCCCTGGGGCGGGGCTAATTTTGACCCCAGGGCTTTTATTTGAACAAACTTAGTAGACACCCATTAGAAGATGTTTCATGCTAAATATCTTAGCTCTAGCTCTTTCGGTTCTTTAAAAGAAATTTTTTTAAGTTTTTACTATATGCATATAGGGAAAATCAATGACCCCCTGGGGCGGGGCCAATTTTGACCCCAGGGCTTTTATTTGAACAAACTTGGTAGATATCCATTAGAACATGTTTCATGCCAAATATCTTAGCTGTAGCTCTTTGGGTTCTTTAAAAGAAAATTTTTTAAGTTTTTACTATATGCATATTGGGAAAATCAATGACCCCCTGGGGCTGGGCCAATTTTGACCCCAGGGCTTTTATTTGAACAAACTTGGTCCACATCCATAAGAACATGTTTCATGCCAAATATCTAAGCTCTAGCTCTTTGGGTTTTTTAGAAGAAGATTTTTTAAGTTTTTACTATATGCATATAGGGAAAATCAATGACCCCCTAGGGCGGGGCCAATTTTGACCCCAGGGCTTTTATTTGAACAAACTTGGTAGACACCGATTAGAAGATATTTCATGCTAAATATCTTAGCTCTAGCTTTTTGGGTTCTTTAAAAGAAATTTTTTTAAGTTTTTACTTTATGCATATAGGGAAAATCAATGACCCCCAGGGACGGGGCCAATTTTGACCCCAGGGCTTTTATTTGAACAAACTTGGTAGACATCCATTAGAACATGTTTCATGCCAAATATCTAAGCTCTAGCTCTTTGGGTTTTTTAGAAGAAGATTTTTTAAGTTTTTACTATATGCATATAGGGAAAATCAATGACCCCCTGGGGCGGGGCCAATTTTGATCCCAGGGCTTTTACTTGAACAATCTTGGTAGACACTCATTAGAAAATGTTTCATGCTTAATATCTTAGCTCTAGCTTTTTGGGTTCTTTAAAAGAAGATTTTTTTAAGTTTTTACTATATGCATATAGGGAAAATCAATGATCCCCTGGGGCGGGGCCAATTTTGACCCCAGGGATTTTATTTGAACAATCTTGGTAGACACTCACTAGAAGATGTTTCATGCTAAATATCTAAGCTCTAGCTCTTTGGGTTTTCTAGAAGAAGATGTTTAAAGTTTTTTCTTTTGGTTGCCATGGCAACAAGAGTTCTGCATGGAATGGAATTCTTTGAACAACTTTGTTAAGGCTTCACACAAGGAACATCCTTGTGAAGTTTCATTCAGATCTGCCTTATGGTTTCAGAGGAGATGTCGTTTGAAAAGTGTGAACGGACAACGTACGACGGACGACGGACGAAGAGTGATCCTAATAGCTCACCCTGAGCATATGCTCAGGTGAGCTAAAAAGAGATCAAAATAAGCAAAAATAGTCCTTAAATAATCTAAGTTGCCTTTAAGTAAGGCAGTAGAAATATTGTGATAAATTACTGCCAAATCAGTCATTAATCATTATATATCATGTAAATTATTACTTGAAGCATGAATATTTTACTTTTCTTTAAATTCTAGTACATTTTTGTCAAGTTCGATTTTCTTGAAATGTTTTTGACTCATCTGGAGACCTGCGGCTTTAATGACTATCAAAAAGTATAATTTATAATACATAAACTAAATATTTAGTTCTATTGAATTTAAATGTTTCATGCATTCAATAAATTTAATATTTAAAGCCTCAAAATTCACATTCTAAGAACTCAAAAGCAAAACTTTTCACTGTGTATATAGAAAAACGTAAAACATAGAATAGTTTTGCAATGAATCCTGAAATTTTTTTTGTTGTGAATCTGTATTATAAATCAGTATTATAACCTTGGAAACAGATTTACCCCAGGGCTATTATGATTTTCATTGTCTTTGTAATGAAATATAAGGTATAAAACTTTTCCCCATCATTGATAAATTGCCAATATAATAAATTTGAATAAAAATGCTGTATTTAAATAATACAGGTACATAATCTTTCATGAAATAAAAAAATATTGACATTGGGAGTACTCCAATAAGAAAAATTTACAATAAAGACAACAATAAATGTTACTAAAAAAGGCATTTACAAGATTTTTTTAGACGCAACTTTATACAAATGTATTTTAAACATAAACATAAAGTAAAAGGGACTCCCCTGAGGTTTTTTGTCATGACCTGACAAGAAGTAATTTTTCGATTTTAATGCTCTATTTGATGTAAGTCTAGACTAATAACTTGTGTGCAAAGTGCCCACTCTTGTTTTTTTTTTGCTCAAACACTATCATTCTTATTAAAATGACCAAAATTCAAATAGGGTTAAGAACAGCACATAAGTATGATTTTCAATTTACTTCTGCATAAAATTTCTTAAATTTAATTATCTTAAAATTTGCATATCTGTCGTTTTCAGCAACACAGCTGATCTATGTAAAAATGATGACTTATTTTAAATTTTTAGGCTTTTTAAGTGGACCTCAGTGGAGTTTCTTTAAACTATAATACTATATGGTATTTCAGCCAGTTCTGTGAATCCTTTTAAAAAAGATAACTATTTTATATGATTATAGTGCAATGAATTTCTACAATAATAAGCAAAATGAGATTAAATATCGAAATATTTACTAATAATAATATTTACCTTCCGGAGTAATCTGGGGGAGAAGTGTCACGTGTTCGAGCCGAGCCTTCTGAAAACACAACAATATCATCATATCATGCTTGTCTCTGATAGTAACACTTCTGAAATCTATCTGATTTTAAGAAAGAATGGAGAAATAGCTTTTTCACAAACGATTATTAAAAAAATTGGAAAATGCAATTTAGCCAGAAGGGAAGACAAAATCGCAGTTCATTGTCCCTTCATGTGCTTGCATTTTCATAGATTAATTATATTAAGTAATATTTGGTAACAAGAAAAACATACTAAATTGCATCTTTCAGATAAAAATTTCAATAAATATTCTTTCCTTTTTTTATAACTAAATGATAATACCACAAGACTACCATTTTTGTTTCTAGTTTCTTCTCTGTCCAAAAAGAAGGCATATATGTTTATCAAATATTTATTATATGTTAATAAAGTGGCACTGACTTTATTCTTGCAATGGAAAAGAAGGGCAATAAATTTATGGTTCACCAGAAAACCAGTTGTTTTTCCACCACACTTTAAGCTTTACTTACCTGTGTGCTTCTTTTTCTTCTTCATTCTTCTAACTTCTGTATCTTCTTCATTTACAAAGTTACTTGTCTGTCTTCTCATTCTAGGGCCACCATCCTCATCATCAACTCTGTAAGTTTGAAAATTATGTTTATTACAAATTATCTCCCTTCCATAGTCATTTTAACAGTTTCTCTCCTTCCGTGAAATATACATAAAATAACATAATTATCCCTCCCCTCAGTAAAAATGATTCCACTGATTATCAGACCTTAATTATAGGAGTTATCTCACCTTCACATCAAAACCATCATTTCAGAAATTGTCTCCCCTTTATTGACTTTACAAAAATTATTTCCCTTTTATCTTAAAGCTTAATAATTATATCTCTCTGAAATAAGAACTTGACATTTCCAGCTAAAATTGACTTCACTTCTTAAGAATTTTAGCAATTTTGTCCCCTTCTAAACATTTGATCACTTCTATTTTATTTATAATACAGATAATCTCCCTTTCATACTATTTGCAGGGCTTACCTCCCTTTAGTTGTTATTTAATTAACCCTTAAATAGTAATTTGGAGAGTAACCCCTTCATCATTATAAAATCAATTAAACTTGTTTACTTCATTATGACATAATAATTGAAAAAGGTTACCTGATAATGGACTAATTATGCATCCAATTATCTCCCTTTGTATTAAAATTTTAAAAAAGCCTGCATTTTTTCTAATTAAACTCAATTATACCTACATGATATAAGATATAAAACTCTATTATTGTGTTGTTCATTAAATTAAAACAGGTTTCAAGCATTGGTTATGTCATGAATTTGAATTAGGTAATTTTTTATAGAGAGAAAGAGATTTGATAAACCTGTACAAATGATAAAATTATACATATTTATAAGCACATTTAATGTCTTATGTGAATGCGGTCAAAATAGTCAAACCTGTGTTTAAAAGACCATCTCTAAAGAAAGATAATCCTATTAATAAAGGCCACTTTTTTGATTACCCTTATTTGATAAAATGGAATTAAATAACCTCCAGATAAAGACCACTTGTCTGCAAAGACCATGTGTTATCCTTCCCTTGGGTGTCCTGTGGTCACAGGTTTGACTGTATAGTGAGATTAGTTTTAAACAGAGGAAACATGTCTTAATCTAATCATTATCTGGAGAACACATTTATTACAATTTATAAAGAGTAAAATTATGTTCTTTCCATATTCTTGAAACATTGAATGTCCATTTTATTTCAATATTAAATAAAGATAAGTTATTAATATCAAAATATGAAAAGGAGAGGTTTAATAATCCCACCTTTATAAGATCTATCCAACTATTAAATTGATATCTCATATACTTTTTTAAAACAATACATGCCCTGGACAAATATTAAGCATGAAGAAAAAAACAAAAAAAACAGAAAAAAAAAACAAAAAAAAAACGGCAATTATTAAAAAATCATGATAGGTAAAGTTATCCTTCCTGTGCATTATATTCCAACTAAATGACATCTATTCACCTGTTAAGTTTCATATAGTTTTATATCTCAAATTACTGTTCAAGTTTATCCTTCTGACAAAAATTAAGCATGAAAAATATCAAAATAATCAAGGTACCGTGTTTTTTGCCGGGGATAATAAAAATGCAGCTTTTTTTATTTCAAAGATGTGTGCATTGCACAATATTACTTAACCTTTGAAATCATAAAGTAAATATGAGCCTCATTTTCCCCTTAGAGTTTCACCAGCACCAAATTTACAAATGACAGACCTTGTTTAAAGTCCCATCTTTTATTGTCAATAAAAAAATGAAACAAATATTGATATAATGAACACCTAAAGTCAGAAAGAAAAGTGAAAAGAACTATCTTATTTTATTCAAAACACCACAAAAAACATGTGCAAGTTTTTAAATATAAAAAGGCATAATTGTTTATTCCACACTTAATCAAAAAGGAGTATATATCAAAATCCAAAATCAAGGTTATATATCAAATATAAATTTACAAATTTTCACAGCAAACTTGCATATATTACTTAATATATTCAAAATGAAAAACAGAATATTTTGAATTTTAAATAATTCTTTACATAATGAATAATGAACATTTTTGCAGAGTTGGCTGTCCCTGATTGTAACGTACAATTATTTAACAAATTTGGTAGCAACCTGTGCAAGAGCTAATCAGAACTATCAGCATTAAAAAAATCCAAGTTTAAATTAATGTGTGTGCAAATTTCATCATTACCCCACTCTGTTATTTTAGATTAATATTTATTTTGTACAAATAACCCCAAAAATTGAAAAGCATATATTCAAATTAGATAAAACATTAGCAAAAGAATCAATTTTAGATTTAAGTCTGAAAATTTGTTAACTTTTTATATTATTACAATGTATATTACTTTTAAAAGTGCCCCAGTTTATTAGTGTAAGAAATTTAAATTTGTATTTTTAGGTTTGTGAATAAAAAAAGCTTTGAGACCCCATTATGGAGCTCCTATTAGAGTTTCAATACGACAAATCAAAGTGTCTCAAACAGAAACAACAAAAAATACAATGAAGGTGAAAGAAAATCTTATATGCACTTAAAATAGGGGAAGAAAAACCAGAAAAAATACCCTAATAGAAAGACCAAACTTCTACCTTACCTTGATAAAATAAGTGGACCTAGTTCCTGCGGACTGGTATCAAAATCAACATGCATTTATTATTATTTACCCCTTATAATGCTAAATATCTTAAAATGGACTTGTCGATCCTATAATCTGGACAAAACCATTCATCATTTTTAGGGAAAATTTCTAAATATAAGCTGACTGAATAACAAACAGTGAAGACTATGATCTGATAGCAAGGATATGACAGCTGATCTTGGTCTGCACAGGTAGCAAAGGTAAAATCTGTTGCCACCAGCAATGAGCATGCTAAGGCAAGAACTAAATGTATTAATAATTATAGATTTTTGATTTAACATACATTTTTATATGCTTGAAATTACAACTTTTTTTAGAAAAACAAACTTCTATGTTGCATGATCCATAAATAAAGCAGGAGCTTTGGCCTTGTGGTTTAGGTGTCCGCATCTTTACCCATGGCTGAACCTAGCAACCAAGAATTCAAGCCCTTCTCAACATTTACATTTTTACCTATCAAGTAATTATTTTTATCCTGAATCTGCAATATCTTTTTGTTAAATGATTGAATACATACGCAGGTTTTGTTGGTAGTGGTGCAGTGGTCACTTTGAAATGATCTTTATCCTTCAGCTTATCTTCACCAATCTTCTTTATTAGCTGATATTTTTTCTATATTTAAAGAATGAGATAATTAGATATGAAATATATCTCACTCTAAGCGAAATAATGTGACTGTGACTATAAAACTTAAATATAAAGAAATAATCTCATGAACCATAACAAAAATTAAATATTTGTGATTTGTTTTTACAGATGCTGTTTGTTAAGGAATTGTAACAACTCTTAAATGAAATTTTATATATGTATGCATCATAAATAAACTGCATAGATTCACTGATACACTGCACTGCATCATTAATAAATAGCACAGATTCACTGATATATTGCACTGCATCATTAATAAACAGCATAGATTCACTGATACATTGCACTGCATCATTAATAAACAGCATAGATTCACTGATACATTGCACTGCATCATTAATAAATAGCATAGATTCACTGATACATTACACTGCATCATTAATAAACAGCACATATTCACAGATATAATCACAATAACACTGCTTCAAAGACATATCACTAGTGTTTATAACAATTGTGGGCAAGAAATCACAAGCATGTTTGTAACAGAATATGGGAAACACTAATTCCTGTCCACATCTATGGAAAAAGGGATAAGTGAAATTGAAAGAATTATCAAATATTCTTATCATAATAAGCAATACAACTTAAATACCTTTCTCATAGCAAGAGCAACTGAGGGTGGGATATCTGGGATCAAATAAGCTATCAGAAATTTCAAAGAGAACACAATATGCTGAAAATAGAAATAATTACACTTTTACATGCTGAACATATAATTAAATACACATTTACATTACAAACATAGCTGATTACGAGTTTACAAACTCTAAACAAATTTCTATTAAGTAATTAATATGCTAAAAACAAAATTTTTGGTCTAGGATTAGGTAACATTTCTGTAAAGTTAAAAAGGACCATAACTCCAACAAGAGCTGTCGGTAGGACAGCAACGCTCGACTATTCTTAGTGCTTGATAGTAAAAAAAATGCTTGATACAGTTACCTCCTCCTGTTTACAGGTTGGTATCATGATGGTGAACAAGTGTGCAAAGTTTCAAAGCCATATGTCAATGGACTTTGAAAATATTTGAACTATTACAAAACTTTAAAGTAAATTCTAAGTCGAAAAAGGGGCATAATTCTGTCAAAATGCTTGATAGAGTTACCTCCTCCTGTTTACAGGTTGGGGTCATGATGTTGAACAAGTGTGCAAAGTTTCAAAGCCATATGTTAATGGACTTTGAAAATATTTGAACTATTACAAAAACTTTAACATAAATTCTAAGTCGAAAAAGGGGCATAATTCTGTCAAAATGCTTGATACAGTTACCTCCTCCTGTTTACAGGTTGGGGTCATGATGGTGAACAAGTGTGCAAAGTTTCAAAGCCATATGTCAATGGACTTTGAAAATATTTGAACTATTACAAAAACTTTAACATAAATTCTAAGTCGAAAAAGGGGCATAATTCTGTCAAAATGCTTGATAGAGTTAGCTCCTCCTGTCTACAGGTTGGGGTCATGATGTTGAACAAGTGTGCAAAGTTTCAAAGCCATATGTCAATGGACTTTGAAAATATTTGAACTATTACAAAAACTTTAACATAAATTCTAAGTCGAAAAAAGGGCATAATTCTGTCAAAATGCTTGATACAGTTACCTCATCCTGTCTACAGGTTGGGGTCATGATGGTGAACAAGTGTGCAAAGTTTCAAAGCCATATGTCAATGGACTTTGAAAATATTTGAACTATTACAAAAACTTTAACATAAATTCTAAGTCGAAAAAGGGGCATAATTCTGTCAAAATGCTTGATAGAGTTACCTCCTCCTGTTTACAGGTTGGGGTCATGATGTTGAACAAGTGTGCAAAGTTTCAAAGCCATATGTCAATGGACTTTGAAAATATTTGAACTATTACAAAAACTTTAACGTAAATTCTAAGTCGAAAAAGGGGCATAATTCTGTCAAAATGCTTGATACAGTTACCTCCTCCTGTCTACAGGTTGGGGTCATGATGGTGAACAAGTGTGCAAAGTTTTAAAGCCATATGTCAATGGACTTTGAAAATATTTGAACTATTACAAAAACTTTAACGTAAATTCTAAGTCGAAAAAGGGGCATAATTCTGTCAAAATGCTTGATAGAGTTACCTCCTTCTGTCTACAGGTTGGGGTCATGATGGTGAACAAGTGTGCAAAGTTTCAAAGCCATATGTCAATGGACTTTGAAAATATTTGAACTATTACAAAAACTTTAACATAAGTGGTTACGCCGACGCCGACGCTCGGGTGACTGCAATAGCTCTACTTATTCTTATCGAATAGTCGAGCTAAAAATAAAACTTAGAATTATGTCCCTTGTCTGCACCTTGTCATGGTTATAAAATATTCCAAGTTCCATGAGTGTTAAAATAATTGCTGCATTAAAGTTTAAACACAATGACAAAGATAATGACTTGCTGCATTAAAGCATTAAAGTTTAAACACGATGACAAAGATAATGACTTGCTGCATTAAAGTTTAAACACAATGACAAAGATAATGACTTGCTGCATTAAAGTTTAAACACAATGACAAAGATAATGACTTGCTGCATTAAAGTTTAAACACAATGACAAAGATAATGACAACAAACAACACAGGGATCATAATAGCCCGACTTCAACTTCAAATAGAAACAATCTGAAACAAAATGCTAAAAGCTGTTGCAAATTCTATAATAAAAAGTGATAAATCTAAGTGATTTACTAACAATAAATACAGTAAACTCCATTTCCCACAGTGCAGAATAATATAATAAAAGCTAAGTAAAAATAGGGGCATGATTCTTCAATAGTCAAAAGAACTTAAAAGATCAAAAGAACTTAAAAGTTAAAAGCGGATATCTTTGATGGTTTTATTTTTTGTAAGGTTTTTTTTTTTGTGAAGGGAAAATTTTCTTTCTAGGAAGAAGGGAGATAATGAAGTACAAAAAACAAGAGCCCGGTTTGAGCCGGGTGATGCTCCCCGAATAGGTTTTGGACACAGGAAAGTACACCTCTTGTAGTTTCAGAGTTATGTCCGTGGAAAAAGTTCAAAGTGCAATAATTCTAAAATTAGGCAAGGCAGAGTTACAGTTCTTTTGCACTGCACCTCTACTCAATGAGATCTATCTACCTACAATGTTTCATGTTGATATCTCTTATAGTTTTAGAGTTATGCCCCGGACAAGATTTTTCTATAAGGGGAGATAATTCAAAAACCAGGCAAAATAGAGTTATGGTTCTTTGACACTGCACTCCCCCTTGATGCCCTCTACCACTGTATAAAGTTTCAACAAATTATCTCCAAGGGTTTTCAAGTTATGTTCCGGACAAAGTTCAAGTTCAAAGTATTAAAATAAACAAAGGGCAATAACTCCAAAATTAGGATGAAAAGAGTTATTGTTCTTATGCACTGCACATCTACCCATTGAGATCTATTCACCTACAAAGTTTCATGTTGATATCTCTTATAGTTTTAGAGTTATGCCCCGGACAAGATTTTTCTATAAGGGGAGATAATTCAAAAACCAGGCAAAATAGAGTTATGGTTCTTTGACACTGCACCCCACCTCAATGCCCTCTACCACTGTATGAAGTTTCAACAAATTATCTCCAAGGGTTTTCAAGTTATGTTCCGGACAAAGTTCAAAGTTTTAAAATTAACAAAGGGCAATAGCTCCAAAATTAGGACAAAAAGAGATATTGTTCTTATGCACTGAAAATCTACCCATTGATATCTATTCACCTACAAAATTTCATGTTGATATCTCTTATAGTTTTAGAGTTATGCCCCGGACAAGATTTTTTCTATAAAGGGAGGTAATACAAAAACCGGGCAAAATAAACCACTGTATGAAGTTTCAACAAATTATCTCCAAGGGTTTTCAAGTTATGCTCCGGACAAGACAACGGACGGACGGACAGACAGACGGACGGACGGACAGACGGACGGACGGACAGACGGACAGACGGACAAGGCGCCGACTATATGCTCCCCCGAAATTTTTCGGGGAGCATAAAAAATAATGAAGTACAAAAAAAAAAACATGACATGTTCTAATGCTCCATTCTGCTTAAGCTGGTGCAAGGGTGCTTGAATGTTAACTTGAGTTTCCAGTACTGTACATGCACTGGCTCAATCAAACAAAGTCTGTAACATTTTCAATTTTGTCATTATGGTCTAAGGGGATTCTTTATACCTCTATTCTAGGGTTATCTGCCCTTTATGAATGACAAAATAAACAATTACAGGCCTAGACATTAACTTTTGAATCAGGTTGTCCTGTCGGGCAAGTAGTTTTTAAAACTACTTGCCCTGACCTAAGACTTACTTGTCCTGACCTAAAAATGATAAAAATGTATAAATCAGAAAAAAAAACAAGCTCATACATTAATACTTCTTGTATTAGGTAATGTTCACATAAGGCAATAAACTGGACATATTGTTTATGAAATTGATTGTTAGTTAGACACAAATATTTTTTGTATTTAGTAGTTTTTCTAAAACATCGGTTCAACTGTTTATTCAATGTGAATATACTACGGTCATGTACATTTGTTGATATAGGAAACGGAAGGGAAAATATGAGCATGCGCCGCGGTAAGGTAATTCCCCGTTCAATCATCAAGTCAACAGCCGTAAACGAGTCTTCGTTGACTAAGTTCATAATGTTGTTATATTAGATTAAACAATAAATCATTTTAAATGCAAAAACTTTATTTAACAATTATATTTAAAGATCAATATGATTATTTACATATTTTCAATGATATCTTTACATGCAAACATCAAAATTTAAACAACAACATAACCCGGGAATTACCTTGTACAAAATTAGATATAGTCTATTATTAGAACGGGGAATTACCTTACCGCGGCGCATGCTCATATTTTTGCTTCCGTTTCCTATATCAACAAATGTACATGACCGTAGTATATTCACATTATTGATAATGATTCATGGTGTATTTTTGTTTTAAAGCTGTTTATAAATAAAATGATGCTTTTTATTTTCACTTGCCCTGTCGGACAAGTGCTTTTCAAAATAACTTGCCCGGACCAAACTTTTAGTTGTCCCGGGCAGTCGGACAACCGTTAATGTCGAGCCCTGAATTATTCAAAGTTAAAAGTGATTATTACCCATAGTTTGTGAGAAATGGATCTTAACAATAAATGTAAACAAACTGAAAAAGGGGCATAACTTTGCTGCAAGTTTTCATTTTATAATTATCTAATGCAAATGCTGACAATCACCAGAGGGTTATGACAATTCCACTTAAATCTCCGACAAAAAATTGTACATTATCAATATTAAAACAAACTTTGTAAGATAAAGTTGAATGTAAGTTACTCATTCAACATAAGATTTAAGCCACTCCTACATACCTCAAAACCAATGACAATCCAGAGTTTGCCTGCTGTGTCATAGCCACTCCCCCAATCTGAGGTAAATGCTATCAAGAAACCATTGGAGACCACACCCACGTAGTTCACAAAGGTCAATATTACAAACCATGTACCTAGATGAAAACAAATACGGGTATCTTGAATTTCATGATATTTGAATAGTTCTCAGGATTCTTATTTTTAAGTAATTAATAAACCTTTAACATTCATCTCTAACACTCCAAAAATTTGACATGATGGGTTTACAACATCTATTAATAACTAAACTATAAATAGAAATACTGTCAAACATATCAAGAATGTATTTCTTGGAAAATGTACAAATCACTGCTTATGAAATTATCTATGGTTTGGATGTAATTCATTTCTAATTTACAGAATTTTTATGATAAACTGTATGTTACTGTATTATACCATTATTACTAGTGCAACAGTTGCTTAAATCATTAACCATTTCCCTTTATATTAAATTTATCTGCATCTCTAAACATTAACTCAGTAACAGTAAAAATATGCTGTTGTGGCAGATAATTCTGCCAGATTCACCTGGTTCACAATCCATGAACAGGTTCGCTGAAACCGAATCTTCACATTTTTGAGTTTTGTTGTTTTTAGTAATTTTTCAAGTTTTCCACTGAACTATTTCATCAAAATATACCCAAATTAAAACAGTGAAAAAATCTCTTTTTTTTCACTCTACATAATGAACATGTTATATTCTATTTTTTCACTCTATATACATGAACATGTTAAATCATACCTGATGAATCATTATGCTTATTTCATATTTTGAGATATAACTTTATTGTTCATTTAAAAAACCACAAAGTTTTGAGCAATAATTATTCATTTACAGTAAAGTAAAAAAAAAAGGAGCAAAATCAATTTACCTATATCTTCAGCAATGATGGCCATTGGTCTCTGATACCACCATAACATTCTCCATGCATCTATACGCATATCAATTGCATTCAGGAGAAGTGCCAACAATGGCGCCAGGGGAAAAGATGCTGCAAACAACTGAAATATATCACAAAATTTTCCTGAGAACAGAAACATACACTGTATTTACAAACTAGACAAGAAACACCATTGCAAATTTTTATAGATGGTTTTCTTAACATAACACTAAATTAAATATATATGTCTGTATTTATGTCAAAGTCTAAGCAAAAGTTATGGCTCTAGAACACTGGTTTAAACCTACCATCATGAGCCCATACTGAATGATTTTCTCTGTGTATTCCCCGAGGGTGAAGTTTCCGAGGCTTGGTTTCTCTAACTCAATCTCGAGCAAACTTTTCTCTGACTTAGGTTTAGCATTAACGTGGAGATATTTTCTCAAGAAAGGAATACATGAACAACACTGGCAACGTTTCCTCCATATCTTTAGAGCAAATCTGTAAAATGAAAAAGAATATAAGCCGCATAATGACAAAACTAACATAGGCCAGCCTGTGCATCCGCACAGTCTGATCAGGATCCATGCTGTTTGCTTAAAAAACCTATTTTAAATAGAGAAACTGATAGCGAACAGCATGGATCCTGATCAGACTGAGCAGATGCACAGGCTGGTCTGGATCAATGCTGGTCGCAAACTCATTATGTTGGTTTTGTCATGACGAGGCTCAGTATTAACATTTGGTATAAAAATAAAGAATTATGAATTTTTTGCAACAAGCAGTTGTTTGCACTCTGAAGTGTATAGAAATAAGCCTCAGCCATCCTTTTTCAGCAGCCGGAATGGAAAAGCAAAATGAAACCTTTACGAGTGTAAGGTAAGATCTACAAAAGTGTATTTTATTATCATATGTAAAGGCCTATGCATAAAACGTCTGGAGACTTTCAAGCTTTTGTAAAGGCAGGATCACCCTGCATGCCTTCGAATACAATCAGGTAAAAATAGAAGAACTCCAAGACTTTTTTATCTTAGAAAGTAATTAACCCCATTAAAATTTATTTGAATTAAAGAAAGATTCTTTAACATTAATTAATAACACAGTTCAAAATTTGCAAAATAATCATCAAGATACATATACCATATTCATTTCAACCTCTCAATTTTTTCTTACTTTTAGCTGCATGAGTTAATTCAAAATAAATATTTAAATTATTCACCAACTTCTAACCTGAACTGAAAACAAGACAACTTACGGAATGACGAGATCCTTGAGAATTTTTGGAATAGGTTTAGTTATCATCAGTATCATTACTTGGAATGACAATTGTGACATACAGGTTTCTTCACAACTGTCCTTGTACTCTCTACCATACCCTAAAATACCTGAATTGTCAAATCTCTGAAATAAATAAACAAGATATGTTTGTAAAACATGTATGCCCCCTATCAGCAGCCAATTATTCATGTGATAAGGTAATTATGCATGACTTCTGACCCAGTGATCAAACAATTAATAAGGGTTATCAAGTATCTACTGGTCATGACCTTGATCTTTGACCCCTTGACCCAAAACTCAATAGGGGTCATCTGCTGGTCAAGACAAATCATCATACAAAGTTTGAAGTTCCTAGGCCTAAGCGTCTTTTACTTAATTGATCAGAAACCGTTTTTACTTACAAGGTCAATGAGACCTTGACCTTTGACCCCTTGACCCCAAAATCAATAGGGGTCATTTGCTGGCAT